GAGCCCCAGGCATTGCATAAACCCAGCAATATCAGTAATAAATTCCTGATGGTCTTGCCTGGCACTTGACATTTTTTGTGCCGCATATTAAGAACTGCAGCTCCAGTTTAGAAAGCGGCAAGATGTTCACCACAGACCAAAGTGAGACCCATCCTCCACCCAGAGCCAACAGGTTCGAGCTCCTTGCAGGTGTCAGGCAACTGAGCAGCTTGTTTCTTCCGCCCACAAAATGAATGATGGAGTTTGAATGAAAGTAAACTAGAGCCTTGGGTCTCCAGGTGAGCACTTTGTCACCCAGCTAAGGGCATCCTTGCTCTCTGCTGGGCATTACAAGCAGCTCACTGTACCCAGGGTGAATAGTTAAAGGGAGATACCAACACCAAAACACAGAAGGACTGGAAACAGTTTCCAACATCCTCAGGGGACAATCAAACCAGCCCCCACAGACTGGCTGTGAATGTGAAGGAAGCTTTCCAACAGCATCTTGAGTCTCACATTGATTAATAACATTAATAACATCCACACTGGCAGATCACTTGTACTGTTCATGTATGAGGACGAGAAATCTCTCCATCCACCACCCTTTCTCCTTCTCATATATTTGCATTTTAAATTCTCAGGGGCATGAATTATCTACAGTTTGGCACCAGGTCTAGCAGAACAGGCCTTGATTTGGCACAAAAAAGAATAAAGTGAAAACAACAACTTTGCTAACCAGCTTGGGAAACTAAATGTCAAATGGAAAAAAAGACAGATGCAGATCTAGGAATTAAAAAACAAATAAATGACTGAGAATATTGTCAGGGGTGGGCAGAGGATAATGTGCATCAGGCAAAAGAGAAGCAAGTTATTATTAACGGCATTTATTACTGCTGTCCTACTGTGACAGGCACATATAAAAACATGGCCCCTGGACAATTACAGTGTAGACAGACATGAGACAAAGGACAAGGAGAAAGAGTGCAATGAACCCCCAGAAAGACCAAGTTAATTGAGGACAGACAGCATGAGAAGGCTCTACTAGTTATTGGCACACTAAATTTAATTAGAAAGCCATGAAGTAAAACAAACATCAGGTTTAAACTTAATGAATTAAATAAAGGGAAGAGAGAAAGAATGCAAGTTGTATGCTCGAGAGTACCTTGCTTTCATGCAGGTAATTTTTATCACAGCGAAGAGGATTATTAGCTTTATTGCTCCTACTAGCATTGCTGAAAATTATCTGTCTTACGGGGATGGTTCTCAGAGAGGCAATAGTAGCTAACTGCAAGCTGGGCCGCTGACAAGCTGTCCTCTAATGCATATTGCAGAGCTGAGGATGAAAAAAAAACACCTCTCTCCAGGCTTCAGCTCTGCCAAAACTTCCCTTCACAGTTACTCAAATTCCACACTTGATTTCCAGACCATGGAAAGAGCAGCAAGAACCGTTTTTGTGTCACCTTTTCTTATTGTGGAATATTTCACTCTCCACATCTGGATACTGTAGAATTTCAATACTTTATATTTCAAGAGCATCAAACTGAGATCCACTTTTCTTAGGCACTCTACTGATGTGTTGGCAATTCCTGTTCCTAAAGAGCTTACAACTAAAAAGGCATAAAGCCTGAGTGAAATCGAGAAGCGAACAAAAGAGCAGGATGGAGAAAACAGGTGCTATATGCACTGAATATGTGAAACTACAGTTGTTAGCTGGGCTGTTAACACAACTCACCATCTACTTAGCTAATTCTGTTAGTGGCATTTTTCCATATTTATTACTGCAGGCAAGGAGTTTTAATGAGAGTAAGGCGATATGAATGAATTTCAGATTGTGAACTGATTTAGTGAAGTTTCCTGGTTTTGCACACAATTACCATATGATGTCTTCTATGAAGATGGAGAGCACAGAGCAACGACAGCCTTTTTTGCATGCGTGGACCAAACTGACTGCACAACACGTGGAATTCAACTATTCGAAAACCACAGTTAAGAATAGAAAGCTTTCAAACCAAAAAGATGAAGATCAGACTTTCATTGCATTTCTTCTTTCTGGGCAGGAAGCAGGGAAAGGAAAGAGGGGTCACGTAGCTGTGACTCAAAGCAAATAAGCTAAAAAGTCCTTTTTTTTTTTTTTTTTTTTTTTTTTTTTAAGCAGGAAGGACAGTAGGCAAGGCCTCCTTCCCAGCTGCTCCCCATGGCTTAATTTTGCTCCAAATTCTGAAACAAGCACACTTTCAGCCCAAGGGCTGTTCTCGGCCCCAGCCTGGCTGGCCAAGCAGCGTCTCTCAATAGACACAAACACCTCAGCTCCTGAAAAGATGCTCTCTGAAGACATGCTGCCCCACCAGCAGCACAGGAGAACAAACTCTCACAGCGTTTAGTGTTTTGCTCGTTTAGTGTGTTACTTACAGCTGGGGTCCTAGGGTTTGTACGTGAATTTCAGCTTCCCTTTCAAAGGCAACTTCTTCTATCTCCAAATTGGAAGAAGGAGCCTGCAAACCTAAGGCAGAGCAGCCTACCAAAGAAAGTAACAAATCCCAAAGAGCCAACAAGCTTTCAGATTCGCACCACAAACGCACACACTGCTGACCCCTGCAGACACATCCCTACCACGCACCACCCACACCTCGCACACCGCAAGTTGCCACCGCCCACGCCGCCGTGGGTGCACGCCCGGTACCGGGAAGCCGTCAGGAATTCCCTCTCTAAGACTCGATTTTGGAGTTTTAGAAAGCAGGAATCCTTCATTACAGCGCCGGACACACCGGGGGTGGCTCCTCCTGACGTGTGTGTGTGTGTGTGAGAATGAAATCAACAAGCATTTATACTACCGTAATCATACATACTCATTGCATTTTTATCATACTCATAACTTTTCCAGGAACTCATTTAGCATATGTTAATGTCGCTCTCACATGTCTGTTGGAGTCTTCGGGTGGTCATGGGGGGCCTTCAGATGAAGGCTCGTAGTCTTCTTCACTGTCCACCAGTTGACCCTTACTTCTGCGTAAACTCAGTCCTGTGGTCACGTAGATCTTGTCCTCCAAGGCTGGCCTGCTCTGGTTTTGTTGCTATTTTGCAGCTTCTTTATGTTTCTTTGCACCTGCCACTACAAGGCCAAACGGTCTCCAGGAAGATTATTTATGAGTTCCTTATGCTACAGTTATTCCCACTCTTCCTCAAAAGATCAGTATTTGTTCTGCAGCACAATGGTTAAATGGCTAAAACAGCTTAAATTGATCCTAATAATTCTATTCCTCAAATATCCATTTTCTGATAATCTTAGTTTGCGGGTATCAGTGCCACCACTGACTTGTGTCTTTTTGTTGACCCTCCATGTGTCACTGCAGCCCTGGGGGAGTCAGTTGTGCGTGGGCACCCACCCCAATGACAGCGATGCTTCTCGCCGTGGCCCTCCCGGGCTGGTGGTGTGTGGCCGTGAGTGGGTGCACGTGCTGAACGCTTTGGGTGTTGCGTGTTGAGGCTGTGCTCCTCGGTCACCAGGGTCCCTGGCTGCCTATTGCCGTACATCGCTCCCCCGGCCTCCTCCACCCGTGAGACTGGGCGCCTGCCGGTGTGCCCGCCTGTGCCGTGGCGTGGGCCCGTGTCCGTGCCAGGATTGTCAGGAGCCGGCGGTGGGTGGGTGTGATACCTGTGAACTAAGGTCATTAGAAAACAGACATTTGAGGAATAGAATTATTTGGATCAATTTAAGCTATTTTAGCCATTTAGCCATTGTGCTGCAGAACAAATACTGATCTTTTGAGGAAGAGTGGGAATAACTGTAGCATAAGGAACTCATAAATAATCTTCCTGGAGACCGTTTGGCCTTGTAGTGGCAGGTGCAAAGAAATATAAAGAAGCTGCAAAATAGCAACAAAACCAGAGCAGGCCAGCCTTGGAGGACAAGATCTACGTGACCACAGGACTGAGTTTGCGCAGAAGTAAGGGTCGACTGGCGGACACAGTGAAGAAGACTACGAGCCTTCATCTGAAGGCCCCCCACGACCACCCAAAGACTCCAACAGACATGTGAGAGTGACATTAACATATGCTAAATGAGTTCCTGGAAAAGTTATGAGTATGATAAAAATGCAATGAGCATGTATGATTACGGTAGTATAAATGCTTGTTGATTTCATTCTCACACACACACGTTAGGAGGAGCCACCCCCGGTGTGTCCGGCGCTGTAATGAAGGATTCCTGCTTTCTAAAACTCCAAAATCGAGTCTTAGAGAGGGAATTCCTGACGGCTTCCCGGTACCAGCACAGCCAAGGGAACCAACCCGACCGAGCGCTTGCACACGCAGAACCGGGCGAGAGGCACCGCGCACGTACACGAGCATGGAAACACACACACGCACACACGTCGCGATGACACGGGCGAGCGCAAGCCCCCACGGGCGACCCGCCCCGACACGCCGGGGCGCGCACGGACGCGCCGGGGGGGGAGTCACACGCCCGCCTGTGCGCGCGCACCGCGGGGCGGGGAGGGGGGAGGAAGAGGAAGAGGAAGAGGAGGAGGAGGAGGAGGAAGGGGAAGAGGCGGCCCAAGCCGGTCCCTCGGCTGCTGCGGCGGGGCCGGCCCGGCCCGGCCCGGCCCGGCAGGTAAGAGCCGCCCGGCGCGGGAGGAGGGACCGGTGGGCTCCGGGTCACAGGAGGTCGCGCCCACGGTCGCACCACACGCACACCCGGGAACGCAGACGCTGCGGGGCACAGCCACGCGGTAAACGAAAGCAGCGCGTGTTTACGCGAGCCGGGAGAGCGAAAACACGCGGCAGCAACTCCGCAGCGAGGCGCGGAACCGCTCCCGTCACAGCTGCGCGCAGCTGTCGGCACCGAGGCGTTCCCGCGTGGGGCAAAACACGTCCTGCGAGTGCAGGGACAGCCCCTTGCTAACGCGGGGACTGAGTGACGCAAATGCACCGAGCAAAATACACTTGCCTGCCGTATTGTCTGAAGAAAAATCCTTCCATTAAGAGGAGTCATTTTCTCTCTCAGGCAGCCGAGGCAGGATTTATTAATTCAAATAGCAACAGAGAATGAAGAAGAATAAAGCAAGCCCATGTATTTAGCAGCGCATGACTAACTTTTCTTTAAAACAAACTATTATTCCATTGCTGTGATACTATTACGTAAATTGCGGAAGTCAGTAACTGACAAAGGCAAGCCAGGCTCCTCTAAATGCAAGATTAATTACAGCATTTTGTGTTTCACCCAGATTATGGTCTGCAAGTCTGCAGCGCGCGATCTGCAGCCGGTTTATGAAACCACTTTAAAAATAAGGACTTCTCGGCTTTTGTGTGGCTACACTGCTGGTGCACAAAGATACCGGTGTGTCGGCGGTGGGTGTTGAGTGGTAGGGCCGTCGCCACAGCTGAGAAAAAGCTGTTTCCCACGGCCCGTGGTGCTGGTCCGGAGTCGCAGAGGCGCAGCCTGGGGCAGGAAGGGACCAGAGGTGGTTTTTGGCCTCTGCTGTGAATATCCCGGTATTTCTCTTCGGCGCCCTGCAGCCTGCTGAGTTCGGGGCCCTTGCGAGAGCACACAGCTGAGTCAGGCTGCCCTGCTTTATGAACCAATCCGGTACCATCTGCAAACACTTTATATCAGCTCCGTCCCTGCTGCAAAAATGTGAAGTCTGTGCCAGGCTCCAAACTGACCCCATTTTCAGACTTGGTTTATTTGCAGGCGGGTAATTTCACTCGTTCCTGGGCCAACACTGCTTAGAATGATAGTTTCTTGGCTCATTCTTTGCACCTTCTCCATGTATATATATGCACATGGATACTTGTTTACACAATGTCACACACACACACATATATATATGTATGTATGCACATATATATGGAGTCACATTCCTTCCTAGGCAGAAGTCACGCTGTTGCCAGCTCCTCTGGTATGACCCGGTTTTGAGTTCCTGTATCCTCTTCAGCTTTCCCTGTACCTGCTGCCTTTTCAACATGCAATACTGAAACTGCAGATAATACTCCACTGTTTGCTTTTCATTTCTAAAGGTCTTGCAGCTGTTAAAAAATGGCCGATTCCTGAAGTTTTCAACAAAATGCAAATAATGGTCAGGTGCACCAAAACTCCCAGGGGGGTTCCATGAACCAGGGCAGAATGGGAAAAAAATACAACGGAAGAAATGTCTCAAAGATCAGTTTTGTTAGCCTTCAAATTTCAAGCACTGGCGTGTTTTGAGGCTTGTTTTGAAAGTTTATAGCTTCATGAGTACCATGCCAGGATAGAAATCTGTACCAATTTATTTGAATTTTAATTTGCAACCAGGGATCTTAGGCATATGAATCTGTTATTTTCCTGTCCACATATTACAGGCAACTCTTACCTGTGTCTTTATTTGTCTGTATTTTTCTCTTTTTTCCATCATTCAAGAAGGAAAATATCATTATTGGTGTTTTTATTAAATGCTTCTGGTGAAATGGTACTTAAGTGCATGCTTTCTGCATGTAAGATATCTAAATAGTTTTGATAACTGGAAAAAATCAGCTTACTATAAACAGGAATGTGCTGCCCTATATTTAATGTTTATGAAATTTAAATGTTAAGTGTCTGGTAAAATAGGTTTAAAATTAAGTTTTTACTTTGAAGCATGGCTGAATCAGTAGAAGTTGAGCCTAAAAGACAGTGAAAACACTTTTAATTTTTTTTTTTAAGGTTACTGAAATAATATTAGTGCTTAATCCATATAAGACCAAGTAACTAGCTGGATTACTTCCACAGAATTACATTTGGAAAACAGAAAAAATACACAATTTGGTGTCAGTGCTACAAGAAGCAAGTTGCATTCTAGCTCTGGGAGGGTCCAACCCTAGGATAAACCATACTTTCAGGTATAGTAACGGTTACTTTGTCATGTTTTAATGACAAGGTATTTTGCATAGCAGTCTTACCTTGTATGGTTAAGGTTTTGAAATTCCAAAACCTAACAAAACATAGAAGAGTCGGACTGTAGATGAGGGAGTGGCTGCTGACAGACATTGCACAAATCGCCATTTCATTCACTATGTGATTAGGATGGTTCTGAGTTAATGTGGCTTAAATGAAACTTTCCAGAGAAGGAACCAGGAAGAAAGTCCTAGTGTTAGATACTACATGAAAAAAAATGGACTGAAAATATTAAAAGTGAAAGCCTATTTATTTTGACAGCAAATTCTCCCTCTTAACCATTGGTTGATCTCTCTAAACACAAAAAAGCTGTGCAAGAGTAGATACCGTTGTGAGGAGAAACGAACTATAAGTATTAGATTCTTTAAAGGAGTGCAGGCTCAAATTTTAAAATACTGAAGAGAACATCAGCTCTTAATAAATTTTGTCAGATTTTCCCTCTGGGTTAAAGCTGTTACTGTAAAATTACTGTTGATTGCTCATTCCATGTAGTAACACCATGCATCTTTTGGAAGGAGTAGTTTTAAGGGCTAGGGTTTACCAAACTGAGTCAGGTCTTTCTAATATAACTAGAAGAATCTGACTGATGGGGGTTAACTTGTTTTTTCTTCTTCCTTGCTTCCTCAGAATGACTGCCTTTTGCATAATGAAACGTTTATGTCAAGCAACCAGAAATGAGAATAGATATGCAAAAAGATTCTTTGGCACCCTTCTGAAACAAGCACCACAAAAGAGCGTCTTTTCTCCATTCTGGATGGTGGTACCTGACCCTAGCAAGTCAGCTGTGCTTGGACTTACTCAACCATTTTGTACAGCTGAAACATCTCCCAAGGAACCAAAAAGGAAAGCAGCATTTGGAAGCGTTGGGCGAAGAATTCCCTATCGGATTTTGCACTTAATCAACCAGGATGGAGAGAGCTTAGGAACTATGCACCGAGCAGAGGCACTCAAGCTTATGGATCAGCAGAACCTGAAACTAGTTCTCCTTCGTGAGAATGCAGAACCTCCTGTATACAGATTAATGTCTGGGCAGCAGATTCACGAAGAACAGCTTAAACGTGCAGAGAAAAAAAAAGCAAGTCCAAATCCAGGTATGTACATTGTTGACATTACAACAGCAAGCACTTTGAAAAATGCTGTATGAAAAGCGGTTTCAGCAGATGAAATCCTCTTACTTGCATTTGTGTAAATCCAAAGCGATGTCAGTGCAGTCCGTGCTATTAAGGATTTGCAGTGGTGAATATAAAATTTTGGATTAGTCTAGTCTTCCACAGAGAAGCCTTCTCTTGCCTTCTCAGGATTTACTATTTTGGCATCTGCTGGCTTTTCTAAAAATCTGCTTTTATTTAAGTGAATGTAACTAGACTGGTTCCATGAGACGCACAGGATTTCTGTTCTTTTACTAAGGCTAAAGTGACAGGCAGTTTTTACAAACCGAGCACCAGATACACCAGTATAATTACATAATTTTGTCATCAGTAGTCATGAAACCTTCTCTTCCCAGCTTGCTGCTAGGAAGAAAAGTCTAGAGCCCTTTCTAGTATAGAGTAAGGGAACAGCTTTTTTTTTCAGTACTGAACAGTTTTCAGTGTTTTTATTTAAGTCAGCCTGCTCCAGCAGCCTAAAGTGAGTTGGGCAAAGAGGTTTCAGAAAAGGCATCTGACCTTGTATCCTCTTTTCTTACCCTCAAGTTAATGAAGGTATCTGTGCTTTGGGTAGAGTTCTGATTTTAGAAGAGAGCACTACTGTGGCAGTGAGTTTTTCTGTTCAAGAAACTTAAAAAAAAAAATATATATATATATATTCAAATGGTAACTACTTTAGAGACTCTTTAAGGAGGAAAAGACCACAAATTGTTCAAATATATTACAAAGCATTATACTTCCAGCTGAATATTGCATTTCACCATTCAAGAAAATGGGCTCAAGATGAGGAGCTATCTAACTTCAAAGCTTCTACATTCAACTATACTATATGCAGAATGTAGGAATTTGCACACTAAGTCTTTAATTTCACATCTAATGCTTACCTGTTTATTTTTGTTAGGCCTACTTTGTGGGTGGAATGAACAAAACTGTAATTAAAATAAAAAAAACTTTAAGCCTTCTGACCCTGAAGAGACTTCCTTGTGTGCCTTAAACATGCACTCAGTTTCACAATTATGACAGTAAGTCTGAGATATCAAGTAGCCACCTTCTAAGATATCAAGTAGCCACCTTCTAAGATATCAAGTAGCCACCTTCTAAGATATCAAGTAGCCACCTTCTAAGATATCAAGTAGCCACCTTCTAAGATATCAAGTAGCCACCTTCTAAGATACCAAGTAGCCACCTTCTAAGATATCAAGTAGCCACCTTCTAAGATACCAAGTAGCCACCTTCTAAGATACCAAGTAGCCACCTTCTAAGATACCAAGTAGCCACCTTCTAAGATACCAAGTAGCCACCTTCCAAGATGAGAGTGGTGCATGCTGAGACAATGAGATTGGGATGTTCTGTGTATGAGGAAACAGCATGGGAGAAGGGAGTTAAGCAGACAAAGCACTATAAGCTGCTGAAAGAGCTAATACAGGTTTGTCAGATGTTACGCCAACACAGTTTTAGTTCTGTTTTAAACAGGGCTGGTTCAGAAGGAGTTATCCTTTTCTTCAGCTATTGCCAAGAACGACTTAGAGACCAAGACTAAACAGATAGCACAGTGGATTGAAAAGAAATACCATGTTAAAGTTACCATCCGGCAAGCAAAAGATAGCAATACAGACATGGTAAGTGGCCTCCTGAAAATTGGACCGATCAATTTCATTAAATAGCTGTACTTGTATTAACTTCCCCTATTCAGTTCTGCCACGTTTTTTCTAATATATCATGTACTGCTAAAATAGGCAAAGGTCTAGGTCCCGTTAAAGTAATGGTTGCCCCACTTTAAGCTGCATCTGTTCAAACACTGCAATTCTAGAAAAATAGTCCCACCAAGACAATTCAAATACCGTACTTTAAGAATGCAGTTGTAATACTGGCTTTGACATCAGTCTAAGCAGTTCCTACTTCTTTGCAGCACCACCTTATTAACTGGGATAATGAAATTTTCCTGTCTATGCTTTACACCCAGTCACCCACTGAAAAGTTTAATAGTAAGGTTTAAAAAAAATCTGCTGTATTTTAGCTGGATTATTTCAGTAATCTAACTGTTCTTCTGAAGATCCATTTGTGCAGCTGTGGCTAAGGTTAGTTGTGCACTGCTGTGTGAGAAACTACTGGAATGCTGTTCCAAGACTGGCAAAGTAAACATTTATAAAGATGTAAGGGAGCTGGTGGCAACCTACTCACTAGTATAATTGCAGGGCCTTGAGACTTGTCTTAATTGTCTTTTGCACAAATGGCTTTTTCATAAAGATTCCATGTAAGATTTTTTTTTTTTCCTTTTAATATGTGTAGTGAATTAGGTCTCCTTGATGATTCTCTCTAGTAAATTGCTGGGGAAAAAAAATATGGTATCACTTCATCCAAAAGTAACAAAACTCTTTATAGGAAGTTGAATTCACAGGGAAAGGGTAGCAAGAGGAAGAACTGGATATGGGAGGGAACAGAGCATTTTATGATGCTGTCCAGATTTGGGTTGTCCTTAAATTTGAAAGCTTAATTATGAGCTTAAGAGTTCAGCTTGTTATATCAATGCACTGTATCACTCAGTTCAATACTACCACGTTATATCAATGCACTGTATTACTCAGTTCAATACTACCACGTTCTACTAACCTTAGTACAAGACTGCCCCTTAAGAGGAAAGCCCCATAAATATACCTGAATCTAGCAGAAGAGGGTGGGAGGAGTCAGATGCAGTCCACTTCCATGGACACTTTTAAACAGCAAAACAGGATGAGTCAGGAATTGGCTTAATCCCTCTTGTAACTTTCCTAAACCTGCTTATGAGTAAAGAACAAATGGTTAGGAAAAGATAAGATGAACTGCTTAAACCAGGACTAGCAACTAGCTCATTTCAGCTAATAGCTAAACCACAAGCAGATCATGTCACTACAGACCAGCCTGACATTTTTCTGTGTCCTGTGTTTGTGCATTTAGTCCTATTTTTCTCCTTTTTTAGTTCATGCTTTTTGATCAGATTTTGGAACCTATGTCTGCGAAAGCCACTTATCTTTCTAAGCCAAAAGTTACTAGAGAAGGAGTGAGTGCCTGTGTTTTGAGACACATGTCTGACAAAGAGTTGAAAGCATATCAGAAGATGGAAAAACAGAAAAACATTACAGTAAAGAAAGATGAAAATGAAGATCTGAAGTCAGATGAGTTGCATCAGTGACTTTATGAAGAGGTATAAACAATGTCTTATTTAAAAAAAAAAATAAAAATAAACTAAATAAAAGTTGTTGTTAAGCTTTATGTTGGTTATTCCATGAAGAATGTTGTTTCAGTTAACTTTTACTGCAGAGACAGAATTTCAACAGTTGGTATTTCATTTTCCATGGGCTTGTCCGTTGTCTTGCTTTCTGTCACAACCACATCCTTTCCTGACTGTACTTTAGGAGGAATGTAGCCGCTCAGACGAGAAGCTAAGCTCCTCTTAGGACGAGAACGCTTCGCCTGGCAGAAATAAACCCAGAATTAGCAACTTAACATTTGTGGAGCAAGGACTACTAATGTGGTGGGGAAAGAAGAAATCAATTAATAGGCCAGCACTGCATTATTTAAAGGAGCTTCCAAAATGAGGAATCTCTACGTAGATAGCTGGCCTGTTTTCCTGCTTGAAGTCACGTTCTAAAACAGATAAGGTTTACCGTCCTCTGAAGTGACAGGGTAGAGTTTAGAGGACTTTTACAAGAGTGTAACTTACTTTCAAGGGCAGCTTTCTCTTTTCAGGATCATGTACAACTGCGTGCCTTGCTAGGCTCTGCTACAGTTACAAAGAGCAGGGGGGGAAAAAAAAAAAGTTAGGGAGTTAGGTTTATCATTTCGTATTATGGGATTCGGATGAGGAGAGTGTAAAAATACATACCTTCATCGCAAACACTTTTCCACAGCCTGGATAATCACAAGAGAATAGCTTTTTCTCCTCATGAAAAGAGAGAATATGGCTTTGAAGGTTAAATACAGTTGTGTAAGTTCGCCCACATCCTTCTCTTGGGCATCGGCAGAATTCCCTCTCCACAGCATGCGTTTTTTGATGCTGCTTGAGGTAATCTTTCCTTTTAAAAGTTTTGTGACACTCACTGCAAACTATCGGCTCTGAGTGGGATAGAGACAGTATAAATTAACAGCTTCTTACAAGAACTCAGAATCAAACCCTAGTAGTCCTCTAGAACAATACTAAAATCCACATGAAATGCAAGGAACTCAAAGACTGGAAAGAATAATGCAGTATGAATTACCCAGCTCTGAAATTGTACATTATATAATTTCTCATTAACTGGATCACAAAACAAAGTTAGTATACTGGGTAGCATTTTCATCAGTTAGAGGTTAGCCAGAGTGACAACCATTTTACAGACAGGTGTTAGTAAATGAGTTTGTCTAGATGATATAACAAGTTGATGAAATGAGTCCTGCAAGGACTCCACTTCAAATTAGCATTTTGTCTCCTATTTGTATCAAAAGTTAAGTTCTGTTTACTAAAGCATTTTCAGTTTACCTGTATGACTTTCTTTATTATGTTTCTGAAGCTCTGTCCAAGTTTTTCCAGTATAGGAGCAGTTTTCTTTCTTGCATGCATAGCCTGTTGGGACAGGACAGATGTTTACAATCACCAAGGTTCTGGCAAACACAGTCAAGTTTTACAAGGGGGAACTCCACTTTTAGCATTTGAAAATTTAAAAGCCAGTATTCCTCCTCTCCTCCCATACTGCACAGTGTTGGGACAAGAGATGGCGAACACAAATTAGAACATGAGAAAACCCTAACAGGTTGAAGGAAGAAACCTTATATCGCTGACACAAGTTGTCCAGAGAAGCTGTGGATTCCTTACCCCTACAAACATTGAAAACTTGACTGGACACAGTCTCAGCAACCTGCTCTAACTGACCCCACCTTGAGCAGGGAGTTGAACGAGATGACCTCCAGACATCCTTTCCCACCTATATGATTTTATGAAACTCTCTCTCTCCTTGCTTCAGTAAAGCTACTTCCTCACCAGCCATACACTTTCACTCAAATAGATGAAAATAACTGTTATAATACATATTGTCTCTATATAAATATTTGTATTACATATTAAAAAAATAAGATGTTGACCATGCAGTAATATTCCAGAGCCTAAAGAGACTTTGCCATTCTATCAAGCAGACAGAATGGTTTTTAAATGAACCACAGAAAGTCAGCACTATTTAAATCCCAGGACTGGAACGGTCAAACAACTATGAACAAATCCCTGTCTTAAGAAAGGAATACAGTATGAATCACAGCTTTTTGGATACTCTTCCTACTCCATTGGGCTTGTTTTTTATCTAGCATTGGAAAGCAGGTTAGCTGTCAGTAGTACTAAAAGAACGGATAGGAGTGTAGCAGGATTAGCTCAAACATACATGACCACCTCCTGACGATTCCACTCAGTATTTTTCGCATAGGTACATTAACAACTTTAGAAATGCAGGCCTACATGGTTTTGCCAAGGCTCCATAGGAAATTTGTGGCAGAACTGGCATGATCCTAACCTCTGGAGGTATAGGCTAGTGCCCTAACCATTAGCCTGCCTCCAGAGGATGGATTATTGACAAGGTAGCACATTAGGAAAGAAAAACAACTGAAGGAATCCTGAGCTCTGTTCAGCCAGCCACAAGTACATTGTAACTGAACGCTGCAATGCCTTCAGCTATACCCCATTCGACTATTCAAAAGGGTTGTTCTTGTTTTGTCTGTCTGGATCACTAGGCCCAGAATACTTTAATGTCTGTCATACATCCCTACATACTCTCTGTACTGGAAAACATTGTTTTTCCTTTGCTAAAACATAACTGAGGGAAGAAGAAAAAACTGTTACCTTCATGTATCTTCTCGTGCCGCTTTAGATGACTTGGAGTAGAAAAGTACTTTCCACATCCTTCATTACTACATCTAGGTATAAAATACACTAGTTTAATTTCTTTCACTGCATCTATGTATTTTTTGTTCTTAAAGTCAAGAACAACTAAAATAAACAAAATAATTCAAGTTTCCTCTTGCCTAGAGATCGGTTCTGTGTCCCTCCCACATTGTAAAAGTAAATTCCATAACATGTTTCCAATAGAGGACTCTGATCCCCTCGAAAGTTAAAACTATAGTAGGATTTCCACATATACAGCAAGTTAAGTTTTAGCTAAAGAATCAGGTCTCCTATCATCCCTACACAGTAGGCACTTCAAACATAAAAGAGAGATAGAAAGAAGAGGGTTTAAGTGGCCTGTACAGATCTAGCAAAGCGCTGGCAGTATTTTTGTGCCTGTCCCCCGGCCATACCAGTGCACTCTATTTAAGTGGAACACTCCTGTCAAGTGTGTTCCACCTGTAAGAAATACAAGACTAAACTTTGCTTTCATTAGATCTATATTGACGTGTCATGTAAATAATGGAGTTGTAATGCACAGGTTCTCGGACTGGTATCCAAGCCGCTCACCTTTTTTAAGCTACTGCTCACTTTAACACTAGCCAAGTCCCTGCCTTTTACTGGAAAACAGAGGTAGCTGCATTTTTCATTACTGTGCAAGCTCTTATGCTCGTATTTCAGACTGTGTGAACTAAAAACTGAGGGGGGGGGGGGGTGTTGTTTATTTTTCCTGTGAACCTGTAACAAACCCTAAGAAGTGTCTGGCATGCTGAATTTACAGAGCACTGAGATCATTGTCTGAAACAGACTACTGAGCAAAGGCCTAGTACAAGAGATGTACTTACAGCCATGGCTACAAATTCATTCCAGCTTTTTTTTAAATGCCACATCAATTAAAAGGTTGAGAAAAGGCACCTGTTTTCATCTACAGTGTTCAAACAGAATTGTTAAGGTTCATTATTAAAATTATCCACCTACTTGAAGGGATGTTCATTGGTGTGGTGACATTGATGAACTTTAAGTTGTTGGTGTTTCCTGAAAGACTCGTTACAGCCTTCAAAGTCGCACTATTTAAGAAATTAAGTTATCATTAGAGGCCAAATGACAAAACAGTCCACATGTGTTTGCCAAAATCCCAAGCACAGTATTTGAACTCATCCAAGTACCGCATAATAACAAGTTGAAGTATTTCCCTAGATAAACAAAAAGGAGCTTGTTTAACCTCCACTTTACAATATCAGAGGTAATTACTCACCACATACTGCTTTTGCCGATTTTGATGCTTGCGCTCAATGTGCTTCTTTAAGTTTGATTTTGTTCCAAATTTCTCATTGCACCCATCAGCTGTGCACCTACAAATGAACCGTTGTCTCTTATTATCACTCTCAAACAGCAATTTGTTTCCTAGGCAGATACACATATCATTGGACAAGAAGAATGCATGAAGAATAACCAAAACTCACGATCCAAATATAAAAATTTGCTTTAAAGACAGAAAAAGCCAGAGGCTAAGCTACAATCAAAGGCTACAGAACACATATTAGAAGAGATTCTTAATAGAACATGTAGAAATTCCTAGCTCCTAGTCCATGACATGCAGCTATTAAGGGCTTAGTAATAGGAGATAACTCCCCTTCCTTCTTTTAATTCTGCACTCTAGGGAGAGATCTGTCCCATCCTTTAAGTATCTATTGTGGATCACTGCCAGACAGGAGGTTTCTGGCTGAGGAGATTCCCCACATCTCACCCGGTGTGCACACTGGTCTAGCAGCACTCCCGATACAGAAGCTAGGCATGCACGCTCTGCACCACACACACACCACTTTTAACTCCCCTTCGTTTCCGTAAGAACAAGCCTCGCCCATTTCAAGAAGTAAAAAACTTGGCCTTACTCGAACGGCTTTTCCCCGGTGTGCGTAAGAAGGTGTCGAGCGCGGTGGAAATCCCTCGTGAAGCCTTTCCCGCAGCCTTCATAATCGCAAACGTACGGCCTCTGGAAGAGAGAGAAGGGTTGTTCAGAGACGGCAAGCCGCACCTCAGGGGGCTCGCCTGCTTCCAGGAGGCTGCCTTCAGCGGGCTGCCCCGGCGGCGGTTACTTCAGCCACAGCCCACGCAGCCCCCCACACACACCCCACGGTGTGCTGGCTACCCACGAGGCGAAGCCGCCTGCCGGGCCCGGTGACGGCGACCCTCATTTCGGTCACCCCACCCCACACACCCCCGCCCTACAGAAGGGAGGGAGGGGCGGCCGAGCGGGGGACCCCCTCAGGGGCAGCCCGCGGCCCCGCCTCGCCTCGCCTCGCCTCACCTCACCTCACCTCACCTTGCCCGTGTGCCGGCAGAGGTGCGCGTCCAGCCTCCAGGCCTTGTTGAAGGTGGCGTCGCAGCCGGGGAAGGAGCAGATGAAGGGGCGGGCGGGGAGCGCGCTCCCGCCTCCGTCCACGCGGCCCCGGCCCTGCGCGCGCCCGGCCGCCCGCTCCCCCGCCATGCACGTGACCGGCTCCTCAGCGGGGAATGTCCCTTCCCGCCGCCCGTCCTCGCGCCCGCCGCGCCGCGGGGCGGGGCGGGGGGCGGCGCATGCGCGGTATGGCGGGGCGGGGTCCTCGCCCCCTCCCGTCCCCCCCCCCGCCGTCGGTGAGGCGGTCGCCGTCCTGCGCGGGTCGCCGTCCTGCGCGGGGCTGTGGGGGGAGCCCCAGGGCCGCGTCCTCCACAGCCCAGAGCTCGGGTCCTGAGAGCGGCCCCGATCCGCCACGCTTCCTCCGCGGCCTCCCGCACCGGGCGCGAACCCCCGGCTGCTGCCTGGCGTGGAGCCATCTCACGCGCCAGAGGAGATCAAAAATAGCTAATTCTGCGTCCCGCCAGGGATTTAGGGACATACGAGCTACGCTGCCTCCCCAGGAAGCCCTGCATGGCTTTCGCAGGTGCCGGGTCAGGTCCTGGGCGATGTCTCACAAGCGGTTTTGGTTTGAGTCCCGGCCTTGCCGGGGGAGAGGATGGGTCTGCGTGGTGCTGGTTAGCTTCTGGTCCGGGCCAGGGGAATTTCATGGACCTAGACATCAGCCTCTGCTGCGCACTCCCTGCCGCCGGCCCCAAAATTCAGGCCTTTGCAGCCCAGGTGTCTCTGCTGTCCAGGATCCTGTGGCGGAGGTGGCCTGTCACCCTGGCCCGTGGTCGTGCTGTGTCCCCAGGCTGCCTGAGGTCTCGGCTAGGGGAAGAGAACATGGGACTACATTTTGCCGAGGGGCTCTGATACCTTGTGCAGCACCTGCTTGGTGCCCGAGTTGCCATGCTGCGATATCCCATCATCTGCTCTGCTTTGTACTGTTTGAGTTGTCACCTGAGCTTTATGTTAGGAGACATTCTCCGTCTGCTGCAGTTCTCCCCACAGAGTGAACGTGAGGGACAGGGAGAAAGCTGGAACAGGACTGTGACAAGGGAACCACCCTGGGGAGGAAAACTCCCATTCCTTCCTCTCCACTTGTGTCCTGAGAACTGGGAAAGCCTGAGCAGATGGTGGTGCTTGGAGGAGGCTAGGGAAATGGGGGAAGAAAGACAGAGGGAATAAGGAGCAGGAATTCAGTTTATGGGGCACTGGATGGGAGAAGGGACACGTGAAGTGAGGTGGCAAGAGTGCCGAAGGTTGTGGCACCTAACAGCTGTGCACAGCACACTGCGGGGAGGCGAGCTGCTGGGCAGAGTGAGGGGAGTTCATGCCAGGCCAGGAGCAGATCCCTGTGGCCCTGGGGCATGTCTCTTATCTCACTCATCTGTAGCATCCTTCTGTAGCATACTCTAGATCACTTGATTGTGAAAGCAATAGTGTAGTTTTCCAGCTACAGGTAAGACAATTCATCTTTCCAGGAAGAGAGCTTTGTGTATGCCAGCAATATATTAGATCCCCTTTCACAGAGAAGCATTTAGCTGAAGAAGGCTTTCACCCCTCTGAGCAATAGATACCTCAAAGCACAAAACAACAAAGGTTTTTTGGTAGTTGTTCATTTTTACGCAGTTGGAATAGGCCGTTTTCTGTCTGGTTATTTCCCAGATCTTAGGGAAGCTGCAGTAGCAATATTTGAAAAGGTAAAAATAGTGTACTGCAGACAAATGGCTTGACTTTGACAGTGTATCAATATTTGCAGCAGGTGATACTTAACGTTAATTAACTCAAGACATCAGTCTGTCTAGAAGTTCATGGGAAATCAGAACAAGTATTCCTCCTAGGTTTTTTTGAGGCCCATGTACAGCATGCTACAGGAAGAGTCATTGCAGATAATTCATTATTTGTCTATAAAAGCTGTGAAGGAAGTTCTCAATCATATTTCCTTATAGCTACAAGGTTTCAGGATTGCAGATGATACCTTCATTTTGGCAATACTGAATACATGGGAATGTTGAGGCATGTTGCCACGTGTCCGGGGTTTGAGTGAGTGGTGGGGTTTATTGGTAGAAGGGCAGGGGGCTATAGGGGTGGCCCTGTGTGAGAAGCTTCTTGAAGCTCCCCCAGCTCCAAGTCAGCTCCACCTCTGCACCAAAACTGAGCCCATCAGCTGCGCCTCTGCGATAACGTATTTAAGAAGGGATGTGGTGAGGAGCAGTGGGACTTGTGAGGAGAAGTTGTGGCAGCTGCGTGAACACCAAGGTCAGTGGAGGAACGGAGGAAGAAAGGAGGGGGGAGGTGTGCCGGAGCAGAGACCCCCCTGTATCCTGTGGGGAGACGGCAGGGCAGCCCCCCCTGACACCCATGGAGATCTACAGGGCAGCAGACACTGATTTGTGGCCTATGGCTTCCACCCGGTTGATCAAGATTCTGTGCCCAAAGAAGGCCGGGGTCTTGTGGGAAAAGGTAGCCCCCCCAGCTGCTGTAATTCAGCGCTGGGAGGATTGCAGCATGCGGGGGAGTCCCACGCCAGAGCAGCTCGGGAAGGGCTGCAGCCGTGGGAGGGAATCCAGTCGGAGGAAGTTAGTGACCCATGACGGAGCAGTGTGGGGAACGCTGCGGCCTGTGGGAGGGACTCACGTCAGAGGGGATTTGTGGAGGACTGTCTCCTGTGAGAGGGGGACCACGATGGAGCAGGGGGAACAAGTTCCAGGAGCTCCCCCCAGTGAAGATGGAGAAAAGCAGCAGCACTGATTGCAGCCCCCATTCCCTGCCCCTGTGCCGCTGGGGGAGGAGGTAGAGATATCGGGAGCAGAGCTGAGCCCGGGAAGAAGGGAGGGGTGGGGGGAAGGTGTTCTCAAGATGTGACAGTGCTTCTCACTGTCCTACTGTTACATGTTGTGAGTGTCTGTAATAAATGTATGTTCTTTTTTTCTTGCCCTAACGAGTCTGCCTTTTGCTCATGACCATATAGGGGGATTTTTCCCCATCCCAGTCCTATCTCGAACCCCAAGCCTGGCTCTCTGTCCCTTCTCATTGCCGGAAGAGAAGGGAGGGAGAGTGGCTGCGTAGTGGTTGGCTGCCAACCAGGCTCAAACCACGACACCACGGAATGATTATTTCCATAGTTTTCAGTTGAAAGAATGTCAAAATATTCTCCAAGTGCTGGAACTCCTGTAAGACATTTAGTGTGAGTACCTTTTTGGAACTGCTATGTCCTTCAAGGCTGACAAAAGGGGAGATGACAAAGACACTTCCAACGAAGGAATTCTCCTTATATCCTTCAGCCAGCTGACAACGTCTGAACATAAGAGCAATCTGATTTTGCATCTCCTCAATTTTATGACAATGCCTTAGTTGAAAAGTAGCTTACAGGAAATGTAGCCATTCCTGAAGGTTTCAGATGTGACAAAAGGCAGTGAATGGATAATTACAAGGAGGAGTACTGTATCATAAATTGTCAGTAAAGATAATGCTTCAGAAGCCTGGTGTTAGGAAATTACCTACATCACAACTTACATTCTAGTCCTTGAAATTTCTTAAAAATTGCTGAATTAACTACTTATAGCTGTCCAAAATGTGGCAGTGAAAATAACATTTCTTTGGGTAAACAGGTATGGGAAGATTGAAGAAACTTATTAAATGTTACATTAACCTGAACTCTAAACTGAAGTTATTTTCAATTATGCAAATGAAAAAAATATTATTTGATTAAAATGTGTTGAAAGACATCCACATTGTTTCATACCTTTTAAAATAGCAAATTTTAAATTGTTCCGAGTTACCTATTTGTATGCTGCTGCAATGCACCAGTGAGGGGTAAAAAAGAATGCTACATGATGGGAAATGTGTATTTCCCTAACATAGTTCTTAAATTGACATGTTGCATTTGTTTGCCAAGTAGTCACCCCTTAGTCCCACCAAGAAGGATGTCTCCCTCATGCTGTCCATCATGTCAGAGACAAAGCTGTCACTTGATGCCAGACTTGAAGTCCTAGAACGTAGGACAGCTCAGGTTGGAAGGGACCTCAAAAGATCATCTGGTCCAACCTTTCGTGGAAAAGGGAGCCTAGGTGAGATTATCTACTACCTTGTCCTGTTGCGTCTTGACACAAGTTGATGCAGAGGAAGGGATAGAAAAGGCTGTTCAGCTTAAGCATTTTCATCCCGTGGGATTACTATAATTAGAAATGAAAGAAGACCAAAATGTGAAAAGCAATCAAGAGGAATTGCTGGCTGCTTTCCTTGTTAGGACAAATGTGGGTGAGAAGAGCAGCGTGTGGGAGAAGGGACCTGGTGGTTGTTCATATTGAGGAGGATCAGTACACTGATGAAGTGGAACTGGAAGTGATTCCTGTGTCTGCTGTATTACTGCTCTAATCTTCCATACCATTTTGTCCAACTCCAGCCTACCTGCAAGGTTACACAGAACCCAAATTCTTAGTCCTTCTCACAACAACAGCTTTATTCTCTCCTTCATCAGAGTGTGGGCTCTTCTTTCCCTGAATTACAAGCTTGTCCCATGACTAAGGGAGAGCAGATGAAGCACATGTGAATTATGCAAACTGGATGCCAGAGGTGAACTGCAGTTAGGATAATGATTCCTTGATCTCTCTGTTTACAGAATTATGGCTGGCTTGTAATGGTGCCAGTGTCCTCAGGAGCCCTTCCTAGGGATTTCTGGGAACCACAAAAACATGTTAGGAAGAGGATGGAGTTAATCAGTTGAGCTTTCCTGCTGCTATATTCAGTCTAGCAAGCCGCCTCCGACAGATGTTTCTGCTTTTAGGCCACAAGGAACTTTATTGACTGGCTTTCCCTGCGTTCAAGAAACATGTAAAGCTATCAAAGACTTGTTTTCCATAAGAGCATTTTCTTGTCAGATGATGTTTTTCTGTCTTGGGCATAGTGGGTTTTAACGAATCTCTCAATAGACTGATGCCCCAAGAGAAGAAATAGAGGAATTCTGTGTTACCTGATTTTCCCTCCTGTCTGTGGGAGGCACAGGCTGTAAGTGATGGAGAAGTTGCACAGCAGAGCTGTGCAGAGCAGCGCTCAGAGCCTTCTGCTCCCCATCAACCCTCCCATCAGCTATCCTGACCTGCCTGTTTTGAATAAAATCTCTTGCATGTCATACAAGTCAAATCAGGGCCAAGTCCCACGTTTTCTTTATACAGTTTGAGGCCAGTCAGT